CAAGCTCCAACTAGGTGAAAGCCCAATAAAAATAATGGTAGGGGAGAATTTAAGAAAAATGCAAATAAAATTGATAATTCACTAAAATATCAAAATATATGTATATGATATAAGAATTTATATGTAAAAAATATATATCAATTCTTATTATTAATATCTAATAAACACAATACTGATGAAAACTGCTTAAATTCCTAATTGAAAAGCTCTTAAGACAAAATGATTTCCAAGTATAAACATTATCCTGATCAAACGTTTCAATAAGTGCTTTTTTGTAATATTTAACTAAAGCTGCTCTGAAAGCAATTACACTGGGTAAGGTTCTTACTGGCAAAAACATGGAATTCCACAATTGAACAGTTCTATTGAAATATAACTACATTGAAATAGTGATGTTCTGCATTTTAAAGGCTGATAGTCTAAAGAGCAGCTATGACGAGTGGACCTGGTTATGACTTTAGGTTGGACAAACTCTGTAATGTCAATGTTATATACCGTATTTTCTCGTGTATAAGTCGAACCTGTGTATAAATTGACCCCCATTTTGGAGCTCAAAAATAAGTTTTTCTTATTTCTAGGCAAGAATTTCCTTGAAAAACTAATCTTATATTTCTTAGAATTTTCTTTCAGGTACTATGGTTATTTGAAAAAAATCACAGCAAGTTTGGATATGAAGTTTATTATTGCGTGTACACGAGTGTTTTAGTGTGTTTTAGCGACACGTGTAAGCAGCATTTTCTTCACAATTTTTGAAATTCACAATTCACAATTTTAGTTACTGAATGCAAAAAACACAAAAGAACTTACCAACAGCAATTTAATTGGTAAAGGTGCGTAACAACCAAAACAAAACCCTGCCAACCAGCATTTTATTGGAACATGTGCTAAACAAAGTCCTCGTGCTCACACGATACAAAGCCAGGTTACTAAGCAGCAAAACTTTGAAGCAAGAAATGTGGCTTTCGTTGAGCAGAGTTACCACTTTATCGGCTGCAACTATCAGTTCTTTATTGAAGAATTGTGCCAGTGAATATCTACAACATTGAGCTTTATGTTAGGAGATAAATCTTAAAGAATTTTAACTTAGACTGCTCGAGTTGTGCAGGGAAAAGACATCCGAACTTGTGGATTGTTTGTTTACATATCAGACAATTGTTATGCTAATTTGTCCTGAAAGTTTTTTTATCTCAGATTTTGACCCATGTATAAGTCGAGGGCGATTTTTTGGACCAATTTTTAGGCAGTAAAAGGTTGACTCATACACGGGTAAATACGGTATGCCATTAATGGCCTTAAAGAAAAATACTAAATCCCTGATTTCATGCCAATAAGACACTGGCAAGAGGTTCAGTTTAATAAGACTTTCCTTGTAAGGAATTAGGGCATCTGGATACCCTAAGATATACTTTGTTGCTCGACGTTGAACTCCCTCAATTGTGCATAAACCACCTATCTGCAGAGGCGTCCACACTTCAATAGCATAGCCAAGGTAAGATTGCACCAGGCTCAGATACAGAGAGCACTTAACTGACACTCCAAAACAAGGGTCAGATGATCTGTAAAGAAACCCCAGTATTTGGTTGGCTTTGGATGACGAGGAAATGATGTGGGAACTCCATTTGAGATTGTTGTTAACAACAACACCGAGATCTTTTTGGGTGTTGGTTTGAGAAACAACGTGATTTCCAATATTAAAGGTGCCTTGAATGGGAGATTTCTTTCGGGTTACACGTACAGCTTTGCATTTGTCGAGACTGAACTTCATTCATCATTTAGTTGACCAGTTGAACACTTTATCAATATCCTGTTGAAAGTTAGTTATGTCAGACTCAGAGTGGATGATATGGACTAGCTTAGTATTGTCGGCAAAGAGAAAAGCCAAAGTAGAGCTAGATAACTCATCTGGCAAATCATTGATAGACCATAGAAAAAGCAATGGCCCCAGAATGCTGCCTTGAGGTACTCCAGAGAGAACAGGGAGGGACAAAGATGTTGTACCTTTAATTAACACTTTCTGGGACCTGTTTGTTAGATAATCTGTAAACCATTGGAACAAAGAATCATTTACACCAGAAGCTGTGAGTTTATGTAATAAAAGAGAATGAGAAACAGTGTCAAATGCTTTGGACAGATCTAAATAAACAATTTCAGATTGAAGTGAGTTATCCAGGGCCTGTCCAATTTTATGAAGAAAGCAAAGCATCTGAATGACTGTCAATTGGCCACTCAAAAATCCATGTTGCCAAGAATATAAGGAACTGCTTAAATGGTTGATTAACCTATTGAAAATATAACTTTTGAGCACTCTGGACAGAATACAAAGCCAAGAAATAGGCCTGTAGTTTTCTGCAAGTTCTTTATCACCTTTCTTATGAATAGGTATAACCAATTCTTATTTTCATAATTCAGGTAGCACACCAGAAGAAAGAGATTTATTGAATAGTTTAAAGAGTTCCACATGCTTGGATCATTTATATACAACTTGATATAAATTGATCATTTATATACAACTCATTTGTTTTTTATTGCTAATATTTCAGTGCCAAAGATCGGTTTGTCAGATCACCTTCCTGTATTTTTCAGATGAAAATACACCAGGAATAAATGGGATGGAGCATATAAATTCATAGAATATTGTGATTATAAAAACTTAAACAAAGATAATATACTGCTTCATTTAGACAACCCCTTATGTGACACTGCCTTTGAATTGATATGTGTTAATTAATGAGGTTCTCGATTCATAGGAAAAAATGCTAAATAAATTAATTGCCACATTCCACTGAAAACAAAGCAAGTGAAAAGATGAATTCAACCTGCCTGGATAACAACTGAAGTTCATGAAAGCATAAAAACAAGGCACAAGTTGCTAAGAAGAACGCAAAAGACAAACAAGCAGGGAGATTGGAATCAACACTCCAACACTAAATGCAAAACTGCCGATATCATCAAAAGATCAAAATGATCCCTTTTTTTGTGAGCAAATTGATGAAAATAAAGGAAATCCTAAGGGCATTTGGAATGCCCTAAAAAACCCAAGTGGCTTAGGCAAACAAATTACTAAAATCATGGAATTAGAGACGGAAAATGAGACAGTGTATGATGAGTCATCCATAGCCAATGAATTAAACAACTAAGGCATTACCTTACCTTACATTACTTCACCTAGATAGATTTTAAATTTATTATAGGTCATGGAGAGGTTTATGCAGGTGTTAACTTTTCAGCTACAAGTTCTCCATGCCACCTTAATGATAGAGTATTTCTTGTTAACTAAATGTTTCATGGGATTTCAAGGGAGTAAAGCTGATTGGGATTGTCTGAATAAAGTTTGTCTGCACTAACATAATAAAGATTTCTCTTCAAATTGAAAGGAATTTTTCTGAAAACAGTATCACTAGGCCAACGTGAAAGTTCTGGTAAAGCTTGAAGATCTTTAATGAATTTTATTTTGTACATCTTCAGTGTAGTCTCTAGTTATGATGGAATCTCACTCTCCTAGTGGTAGACAGGTGTACATATTTCAGTATGATCTTGACTTATTATTTTATTTTGACTTCCATTTTGCTCTTTAGATGGTTCGACAGCTTGTGACAAATGGGGCAAACTCAATTTGGGAACATTCACTTTTGGATCCAAATCAGATGAAGAGTGGATTAAGGAAACCAAATCAAAAAGATCATGTTCAGTATGTACTGAATTTTCTTGCTTTACACTGGGTTTTGAAAAAACATTTTGGGTCTCCCAAGTTAGGTTGTAGTAATGTTATGGGAGAGCTCCAATACTTTGGAAAGAAATGAAGCAATTGTAATGTTCTTATCCTAGCTTTAGGCAATTGAGACCCCTTGCTGTGGTTCATTGGAGCATATTGCTGCACTTCTGATTGTCAACCATGTCATGCATGTGCTTCAGTATACATGTTAATAACTAAAAATGTTCTACAGCTGCAAATTTAATTGAGGTGTTCAGATTGCAAGGCCAGTTGCGTAAACCTCTTTTAACCCTCTTCAACCTAACATCAGTATATATACATGTATGCCCTACAATGTTCTGCATAACTTTCACAAGGTGCTGACTAGGAGTATTTTTGTAACAATCAAGAGCTTCTACAGCTTGTGATCATACCTAAATGAGATGGTAGTCACTCTTTGGGGCCAGAGGGTTGACCAAACATGCTTGGTGATGTGTTCCATTTTTAACCTAACTGTAGTGTGGTATGGTGCGGGAGATATTCTTACTTATTTTTGTCAGCAGAAGTACCTCACTACCCCCTGGTTGATCAATAATGCAAAGGAATTGTAATCATTCAAGTAGAGTTTGGATAGTTATTAAGGCAACTGTTAGCTTGACTACATAAGGATCTCCCATTAGGAAGGTGATGCTTAAGGATGAATTTCTGGATACACAGTTGAATTGAGAACAGACATCCTTGAAAACAGAACTCAAAGAAATGAGTAACAATGTGGTTCAGTAGTTTATATTTTTTCATTCAAATAGCCAGTTTCTGACTGATGGTGGTTTTCATATTTTTAAGTCCCACAAAGTCCACATTCATCAAAGCAAAATATCAGAGGCTTGCATTTGTCCCTCGTCTTCCTTGCAAAGATGACGATACCATTACTGTCTCAGACCTTAGCCAGGTAAGTTGCAGTGTATTCAGAAAGCAGTATAGTCTCCTTTCAACATCTTAATGTTGTGGTTCAAATGTTCATTTAATTAGAAATTTTGCAAGTCATGATAAGTGTTCTCTCCTTTTGCTTCTCTTTATAGTCATTATATTTAGTTTCATACTTAGCATACACCCTGTATTTGTTTTAAATTGCTTTATTAGTCTTTTTTAAGTGCCCAAGCAATTAGTGGATTTGTTTGCCATGTAAATGCAGTTTTATTCATTATTTTGATTACCTGAAACAAAGGAAAGTAAAAATAAAACTGTTGTGAAAAAGAATTAAATCAATGAAAATTTTGAGGACATGATAGTGCTGTATATTAAGTGTATATACATTGTACACTAGCCTGTGTGAAGAGCCTCAAACATCAGGGACAGGCTGCCAGGGTTGCCAAGTTAACATCACTTTATTAGTTTTAAAGTTAGCCATTCACACTGGGTAGTAAGTGGCAAGAGTAATAACTGATACATGGGACCAATATGACAAGATGCAACATATCTGTTTCTAACAAAAAGCTTAGCAATGCTAGTGCAATAATCATATGTGCACCCCACATAGTTCCATACATGGTAAGGAACTGTGTGACTTAACACAACAGGTGTGAAGCAGGGTTTTTATTAGAAGCAGAGTCCCGGGTGCTGGCACCTGTCTACTTTGAACAGAGTGCCCGGTTACTCAAAGTACAAAATTTGTGTGCATTCCATTATTTAAACTGTTTATAAAACACTTTGTATTTTTCTGAAATATAATTCAGGATTTAAAATAAACTACAAGAGATGAATGTAGCTGTAAAAGATGCTCATCAGCTAACTCGTGTGTCTCAATAAGCCAATGTTTTGTTGGCTTTCAAAGCTTTAAAAATATTCTGAGTTAGTGAAAGAAACTTGAAAGAAACTTTGTTCCAATTTAATTTTCATTTAAGATTAAGCTAAGAAATGCATTCAAAAACATCAAAAATTTCAAATGTGAAAATTTGCTTTGGCCTGTTCTGACACTGAAAATTTGTCAGTTTCACTCTTTATCAGTTTATAAGTTTAAGTTAGCTTGTAACAGTAGTTAGCTTAAACTGCATCTCAATAAGCCAACATTTTGTTGGCTTTCAAAGCTTAAATATTTGGAGCAAGTGAAGGAAACTTGAAAGAAACTTTTTTCTAATTTAATTTTCTTTCAAGGTTAAGCCAAGAAATGCATTCAAATACATATCAAAAATTTCAAACATGAAAATCTGCTTCAGCTTGTACTGACACTGAAAATTTGCCAGCTACACTCTTTATCAGTTTACAAGTTTAAGTTAGCTTGTTACTGTAAGAAAAAAGGAGGCTCTGAGAACAACAGCAGTGTTTTGATGTAGCTGTAGCTGTATAGTGAAATAAACAAATTCTCCCAGAGTATCTTTCTTTTTTGACCATAATTAGAATAAGTATGCATCATAGCAAGATTTCTTTTCCAGATTGCAGGAAAATATGCTTCTGGGAGACTTACGTTTTAAAAATTTCCTGGGGGAGCATGCCCCCAGAAGTTTGGGCCTTCAGCCCTTAATTTTACAGGGTACCCACCTATTCATGAGGCAGTGCCCTTCTACTTCAAAAGTTAATGAAAATCCTGTGTGAAGGGACTGCCTCTTTGATGGGTGAAGTGTGCAAACAGCATCTGTGGGTAAAGGGTTGCTAAGTGTACATCACTTTTTTTAGTTTTAAAGTTGGCCATTAGTTATTTATTGAAACTGTTAGTATAAAGCATAATCCTTCAGTTTTCTCAATTCTCATTTTAATTGTTATGTTAAAGAACTGCGCTGTATACAATTGTATTATGTAACTGTATGTAGAGGCACAGTGTGAGGTTCAAGCAGTAATTTATGTTTTTCTTATTGTGCTTTGCAGCAACTTCATTCAAGTGTAAGGACAGGAAATTTAGAGACATGTTTGAGACTTCTCTCACTAGGTGCTCGCCCAAATTATTTTCATCCAGTAAGTGAACTTCAAAAATACTATTAAAAAAAATGGTGATATGTAAATGAACAAGCAAATTACCAATTTGAAGCTGTTGTATTTTATTACCTTCTTTAGTTCATTTAAGGTGGTTGAAGGGGAATCATTATCTTTTTAACGTACTGTACTTATAATTTCTTTTATGGATGGATGATATCAAACCAATGCAGATTATTGCTTGATAAGTTCTGCTGGTTTCTCTTGGTTACTCAAAAATGAGCTTGGTACCCCTTTCTTTTTTTCATTGTGTTAAGTTGATTTCTCAGTATTTACCGCTGTCCTGTTCTCTGCATAAAAATCACATAATCAGGCAATTAAGTGTGTGTGCTTTCTGAGAAAACAGTATTGTTTTTTCAGTCAATGTACCAGGTAAAGAGGTATGATGGTCTTTGACCTGAATTGTTTATGGGATAACTTTGGTGTACAAATTATCCCCTTTAAATGGAAGAAATTTCAAAAAAAAATTCACAGAAGGAGGAAAAAGATATAGTTAGAGGCAAATACTAAGCCTGTTACTTAATGATGCAAATTATGATTGTGAAAGCAACAAATAGTGGCATATTTTGAGTCAGTGACATTTAAAATTGCATGGTTTTTCCACAAATTATATATCAACTTGTTCCCATGGCTCCAGACTTTCTACCTATCAATTTTTTAAGTGTAACTAAAAAACCTGTGCTTCTAGCTTCCCCAAAACCAATGAAATGACATGCCTGTGTAGTGCCAGTTCAGGCTTATATGGGGTAAGTTTGGCCCATCATATATTTTAAACAGGCATAGTAAACTATATTTTAGTACAAGTGTATATGATGACAGGTTTTACTTCTTTTGTCATATTTGTTGTCATTGCTTACCCAATAGGATAGAGGTAATACTCCGCTTCATGTGGCAGCTAATGCTGGGCAACCTTTACAAGTTGAACTCCTTATTGTGCATGGTGCTGATCCCACAAAGCCAGACATAAATGGAAAGACGCCTGTGGATTATGCCATGTAAGAGTAATTTTTGGTAGTGTGTTGCACCTGAATCACTTGGCCCATATCTTTGCAGCTTATCCTGATTTCATTGCATAGTTTCCTGGCCTTTTGCCACTCCCCTAGGGCCACTATGTTATTCTATCATAGACCGCCTTCCTTCACTTTCTCAGCTTAACATGTAACTGAAAATTTATTGTTGCCTGTTTTAGTGCTGTGTTTTTAAATGGTGATTGTGTTCAGTACTGTAAAGTTAAGTGACTTGCTTAAAGAATGCTAATGAATGCTCTAAAAATTATTATTTGGAAAGCAATTTGTTAAATATTTTATGCTCTTGTTTTTTCCAGGGAGGCTGGTTATTCAAATATTGCACATCGACTCATAGAGGTTCAGTTTGAACTTACAGACAGACTCACATATTACTTATGTGGCAGAAGACCTGGTAAATGAATGATTTTTGTGTGATCACCTTTGAATTAGGAAGAGCAAAGAGAATCAAAGTAATCCCATAGATACAGTCAAAATACTCTTAAAGTTGTGACCTTAAGGTGAAGTTGTTTGTGTCTAGACAGTCCTGTATGTTGAGTAGGTAAGTTGTGATGACACCAACAGACATTTGATTCACATCTTGCTGCACATATGTGTGTTTGTTTTATTTCAGATCATCAAAATGGTGTTCACTACCTTATACCAACCATGGCAGACAGGTCTTGCACTTTGCTCAATTTTCTCAAGTAGCTCTTTCTAGTAATTTTGATCTGCTGGAAACACAGTCTATGGCTCTTGATAACTAAATCAGTTCTGCTTTAATAATATGAGCCAAGTAAATCACATTCAAAAGTTGACATTTTGCCTTTTTACACAGTAACTAACAGAAATTTCACTGTTGACATTGAGATCATGGAAATTATATGGCAGATTCCTTTTGTTTTACACCTGCTTATCTAATGTCTAATTGTTGCATCAGAACATAGCTGTGATTTTTCTTAAATTTGGAGTGAGGTTCTCCTAAGAATGGACGACTCACTGTGATTGGCCTCTACAGGGAGAGAAATTAAGTTTGGTCCTGGGAATATACTACATTATGTTACACCCCAAAGAATAGTTGCTTAGGGCAAAGGAAAAGGTGGTGTTAATCTTTAAGATAGAATAGTTTAGGTTAAGAAATAATTTTTCATGTGGTAATCAAGGATTTTGAACCATGCAACATCCAAAATCTTGTTTAACCAATCTTGTCCCTTAGGTATCAAAGAGGAAAAAATTAAATTTATCATCCTTCAATACTGTTGTGTGGTAAATTTACATAATGATCATTTTTACACCAATGAAATGCTATTTTATATACATGTAATGCATCTGAAAGTCTTCTTTAATCTGTGATACTTCAACAGTCGCTTGGATTTGTCAGATGATGCACAGAAGGCAAAATTAAAGCTACAAGCAGTAAGTAAATGAAATTTTATTAAAGCATGTGGTAACTTCCATAAACTGAAGAAAGCCATCTTATTTGATGTTACTTGTCTTTTTTTGTTAGCTGATTGTTATTCAAGAGTTTAGCAGTTATAATAATGAAGCGTCTTAACCCTTTAACTCCTAGAAGTGATTAACATGGACCTTCTGCATAAAATATCATGACATTGTTCAGCAAATAGGCTATGAGGATACTCAAACTTATCAAGGCATGTAGAAGTTGGGTTACCTGTCGTTTTGTACCCATGGTTGTTTTGTACCCATGGTTGTTTTGTACTCATAGTTGTTTTGTACCCATGGTTTTTTCTTACTCAGCTGTTTCAGCATGCTGAAGGGAGACTTAATCAGGTCTTGGGAGTTTAAAATTTAGTGTTACTTCTGCATAGATTTGGTCACTGGAACTTGCTTTAAGTTGTGTTTTTTTACTTGGTTTATCCTTAGTTAAGTCATCATCTCTTTGAAGAACTGGCATCTGATGTGTATGATGAAGTAGACAGAAGGGAATGTGATGCAGGTATTGAAGCTGTAATAGACAAGTTTTAATTTGTGCTGAACTTGAGGAAACATTTGAACTTTATCTATCTTGAATATGTAGATCAATTCCTGTTATTTGTTGTCTTTCTATTTCATGATTGTAGAGGAGCATTTTTGATTCATAAGCATAAAACTTACTTTCTAGTTGTTTGATTTGGAAAATATATGAACTCAACATCATTCTATGGTATGGCTGGAACTTGACAGATTAGTCTGAAATGGTTTTGATTCTTTAAATGGGGTTTGGCTTTGTCTGTATCACGACAGGGTACAGATTGAACCATACCCCTTTTGAAGATTTCTCTCCAATACCATCCCCTAGAGTGATTTGAGTGAGGTCCATGTGCAACCCAGCAAAATATGTTGAGCAAAATGTAATCCATTTGCTCTATAATGCAGAGAAATGAAATTAAAAAGCAACTAGAACTTTGGACTCAAGGCTCCACCTTTTTCTTGCTGTCAAAGTTCCTGCTGAACATTTCCGGTGGCCTTTACAAGCTCAATGAATGGATTGGTCTTAGAACGTGTTGGATATACCTGACAGTCTTTAACTTGTTTCAAATTTTTTCCCTCAGTTTGGCTAGCAACACAGAATCACAGCGCTCTTGTTAGTGATACCACAACAGTACCATTTCTTCCTGTTAATCCTTCGTTCTCTTCAACAAGAAACCAGGTAAAGTGGTAAATATTTTGGAAACGCAAAATGCTCCTAAACAACTATCCTACCAATCCTTTAGCACAAATTTGGGAGAGCTGATTCTTTACAGTGTGTATTAGAGATTTTCGTACTGTTGTTTCATCTCAAACCTGTCTTTATCTAGATTTGGGGTTCAGTCAAAAAGCCTTTTGATGTTAGAGTTTTTCCAATAAATTTCTGATCTCCTAAACTTTCATTATCGTCATTGTTATTATTATTATCATTATTATCAGTATCATTTTAAGATTGGTAGCATTTCAAATTTCTGAAAATCACTTAATCCCTCAAAGCTCAAACATTGTGAATGTCAATCCTGATTATTAATTCAATTGGGTGGTTTTTTAGGGAAGACAGAAGTTAGCTTTGTTTAACGCCAAAGAATTTGCAACATTAATTATTGATATATTGAATGACGCAAGACGGAGAGAACAAGACTCCAATCCTGACTTAACTCAAGGTACTGTACACGATCCTAAATTCATTATGATATACTTCAATATCATCACCCTAAGTTTTTTCGCTTTAGTCCTATCCAGTGTGAGATATCAACTCATAAACCTCAAGTCACTTCCCTAATGTGTACAATTTTAAGGGCTGAGTAAACTCTGAGTTCAAGCACGTCCATTGTAGCTTGTGCAGCGCTCAGCCCAGTGGGTGAGGGAGCAAGATAACAAGCTTACCAAATATCGCAATCTACCTACTCCGACCCCATTAGATATGTGGTTTGGGGGGATCTTTGAGCCTAGCCTGCAGAGCAGGTGTAATTTTGGCGAGCAGAGTGCTCATTATTTTCTTAACAAAAATTGTATTTGTCAACTTTGATTTTAATGGCAACGGAAGCCTGGGAAGAGAAAGAAATTTGTATCGAGGGGGCAGTCGACGGTCAAAGTTTTAATTCCATTTTCTTCCTCACGATATTCTTATTTATCCAGCCTTTGGTACTTTGTTAGGTTTTGTTGAATCACACATTTTCCCTATTGAAGAAGATGCCTATGATCACGAATATGATGAAGTACCTTCAGACGAGGAGCCAGCGGATAAGGAATCCACACCGGAGGTGACAGTCTTCTTGTTTTCATTACATCAATGCCGCAGAGGAAGATATGGATAGTTTCTTGCTCGTGACAAACCATCAAACTTTTAGAGTACACTCGATTATATCACGTGCAATTCTCTCTCAGTGTAAATTTTCTTATGCTTTGTTTCATTTCGTTTATTTGTTTTTTGGTTGTTCATATTTTTTTCGGTGTCTTGAGGCTGTGGAAATGATATTCTAATGGCAATTCAATAACTGAGGAGTCGGGTAAAAAGTTTTATTCTTTCTAACACGCTTCCGTTACTTATTTCAGAACCCCTCAACAATGACTACTAAAGTGCAGATCGAAAAGGTGGATATATTTTATAGAAATGCTGCCATGATGTGTTTATCTTTATCACCAGTACCTCGGCAAAATAAACATGTTATCCTCAAAATTGTAGTTACTCGAATTGCAAAAATCAACGAGAAGATCAATAATATACATGCCAATTCTTTCACAACCGAGATTGTTTCTGGTGCAGTCATCCCTTTTGGGGTACAAGACCTAAACCTGAAGTAGTCGCAAGGGCCAAGTAGAACAGAGAACAATCCTTGAAGGAGCCGTTGAAAACTCAAAGTATACATTGCACATGTTACTGTCGCTAAAAGGGAAAATGCGAGTGACCGAGTTTTTGATGGATTAGTTTGAGTTTTTCTGTCTCACTGGCCGGGTTTAGAGGGCGCGAGAGTTTTGTCAACCAACCGTAGAGCGCTGTAAAGAAAAGGTGATGCTGCCAAATGTTATATTTGACACCTAATTGTAAATTACTTAAATTTAGTTGACTTAAGATCACTCTCTCTATGCTTGCAGGGAACAACTACAAGCTTTTTGGCTGATGACTCCGTTCCTGTGGAACGTTATCTAGCGGTGGAAAGTGCTTTGGCAACGGCTAATGTAGGTGTACTTCAGTGTAAAAGGTCTCTTCAAGTACATACGTAAATAACTCGGGAAACACCTTTAATGTGGAGTGATGATTGCCCTGCCAAAATTTTTCAAAATCGCTGTTTTCATCCTCATCCTTAACATTCTCGTGATTGTTGGCTCCAGTCTTTCCCGTTTGGAGTTTGTCTGTGCAGGTGAACTGATGTTTCAATGTTTCCTTCTATTCAAAGGAAATTTGTTACGTCGCCAAAATACGGCATAAGTTATTGAGGCGTACAAAACCTACTGTATCTTTCATTGGTTAGATGGGTTTTCTCGCTTCCCTCTCCCACCTAATGAGATCGCCGTCTTTACCCTTTACATCCTAACATCAGTATTCATATTCTCCATACTGTTCTCTGTACATTTAATAAGGTGCTGTTAAGGAGAATTTGTCTAACATTCAAGAGTTTCTTTAGTTGGTGATCATTTCCTTTATTCTCATGACATTAATGTGTGATTCAGTGATGATGCTGTAAGGAGAAATTAGATGCTAGTCAATATAAGGGGTTAAGCAAGCGTTCCGGATTAGCTGAGAGTAGTTTTGTAGTTTTGTTTACCATTTGGTAGCGCTTGACTGAAGTGCCCTCTTTTGCTTCATCCCAAGGCTCGTGTACAACAGCTTTTGCAAGTTAATGCGAACCAGAGTCACGAAATTCAGAACCTCCAAGCAATGGTGAGTAAATCATCACTGAAGCTTCAAAAAGTCAGTTAATAGAAGGATGGAGAGAGGGTGTGGCTCACACTATGGTGCGATAGGACTTATGGCTCTTACATTTTTAATTTGGATGTACCTTAAGAAGGCCGAAACGTTGCATTAAATCGCCGGAGTAGTTTAGAGTTTATCTTCAGTCTCTTTTTCTTACATGATCTACACATACTGAACATTTCGGAGAAGATACCAGTATCTTCTGGATCCCCTAACTGGGACTTACTCGTTCGGTGGCCAGTTCACATTTTCTCTCTATATACATATTTTTACACTTTTTACTGATTTTTCCGATTTTCTTGGTTTTTTAGGTTCATAAGTTGGAGGACGAAAACAAGAACTTGAAAAGTCAGTTAGGAATACTAAATGGCAGCGATGACAATGTGTTTGCGCCGCCAGTAAGTATCACTGACTAATATGTGCTAAGTTAAAAAATTTACAAGAAAAATACAAACACTGCTTAGGCCTCAAAAAAAGCTTTCTTGCTTGCCTTTTTCAGGCAGATGTCAAGAGTGTGACTTATTATTATTATTATTCATTTAACCAGGCTTACCCAGACGCCAGCGACGAAGAGGATCACGTGGACATCGAAAACATAGAACCGTATGCTTCCCCAGGCTCCCTCTTAAACCGCACTACTCAGCAAACTCCCCTAGGGCAGCCTCAGGCTGGGGAAATGACCAAAACTAAAAAAGTCAATCCCTACGATAATGTAACTGAATCGCCAGATGACCCAGACGGAGAACGAAGATATCTCAATATTGAAGAGATGAGGGAACACGAAAGAATGAGTTCCTGTGAGTGTTTTTTTTATGTTTACATTCATATGTACTTTTCGTCAAAAGATTCGTAGAAAGTTTGCGAAATGAAGAGATCTTGAATTTTATATATTTGTAGGAAACAAATTGTCGATTCATTAGAGTTTACCCGTGTTATATTTATGTTAAAAATCATCGAAACGCCTGTAACAGGACAAGCCAACCGATTGTCCGTCGTAAAACGAGAAAATCCAACATCTGCTGTTTTTGCATCGTCGCGGCATGCTTAAAAAATAAATTGTCTCTTGAGAAAGCTGCTACCAGTGTCAAAAAGATGCCATGAAACTATGATTTGAAGCAATCAAATATTTAGTAGTAAGAAATGTCTTCCTTATTTTTCGATTGGTGCTGATAAGAATGCTAACATTTTCTTTTAATCAGCGGACAGTCCCTTTGATGAACAACTGGATAGAGAGGCTGAGAAGTTGATCCATGCTGTAGATGATTTAGTTAACGAAGCCACGAAAGATTCCAGACCGCAGCCATCACAAGAGGATGTTGTGCGGTGCACAGAACAGATCACCAAAAAAATTCAGGAACTGTTGCTATCAGCGCAGGCTGGGAGACACAGTTGGTGAATATCCAAACTCTACTTACATTTTTTACTGCATTGTTCAATTCAATAATTGTAGAGACTGAATGCGAGTTCATGTTATTTGTCATGCTAACCCATAGAATTCACTAATGAGCTTTATGTTTCTATTGCAGTTTTATTCCCTGCTCGAGTAATATTTTCACGGCTGTTAACGACATGGCTAGCTTATTTCCAGAGGTATCATATTTGATTTTAGTTTAGAGATGATTTGGTTTTACGCTGTACATATGGAAACTCCCTGTGCTTGTTTTTTGCGCAGAGGAGCTTAGCTGTTTACTTTGGTAGGAAACGTTAAATCAATGATTACCAAGAGTGACCGTTTGTCTTTTGTTCAGGACCCAGACGTGGACAGTATGCGTGTCTCGCTGCAGCTGATGAAGAGCAGCGCTGCTAGGCTGCAGGTCGAATGCAAGAGTGCTGTATTGCCTGGTAACACGGTAGATATGGCATTTCTCACCCAGCAGGTCATACAGTGCGCTTACGATATTGCTAAAGCTGCCAAACAACTTGTCACGACGTTTTCAGTTGATTAGAGGCTCTTAGTTCCAAGGAAATGACAATAAGAGATTCCAAGGAAAAAAGGGTCTCCGTGGCATCTCTAGGAATACAAATCCAAGCTTTTCTTTGCTGGGAGACGGAGAAATAACCTCTCTCCGACGGAGTAATTATTTTTTTAGTCGAAGTAGTGCAGCTGAAATCCTCCAGTTATGATTGAGTTCTACCCTGCCATTATTTTTTGTGGAGTTCAGTTGAGTCATTTGTTCGATTTATCAGTCGTGTGTCAGTCTCTTTACTTTTTCTCGTTTGACTCGTTTTTTTTTTATGGTGATCCATTTAGTTTTGATTGGTGGCGCAGTAGAACTCGGTCGTACAAGTACATACAAATATTTAAGTCAAACATTTAGTTGGTTTGTAGCTTAAAGCATAGAATTATGTAGTCTTTCGTCAGTGTTTTGAAATTTTCTCTCGAAGCAGGTCAGCGTCATTCCAAGGTATACCAAAAAAATCATTTGGACCAAAAGGAAAGGAAAACTTCAGACACTACTGCTCTTGGAAATATTTTAAATCTCATTATCGAGCCATCCCATTTAATGGGAAATTGTCCTGTGGCCGTCATAAACTGGTTTCAACCCGCTTCGGGAAATTCCAAGCTATCTCGCCCGCTTCCATGGCCATAACGCAGATTTTACTTCAGTTTCTCCGCCGGTGTGGCGAGCTTTCGTTGTTTTGCTTTAAACGTGGAGAAGAAATTGTACGCGTAGTGTTGTGGTCGTTACATCTGGTATGAGGGTTTTTTAGACGAGCAGGCATTGAATAATCAATACAAAAGCTTCGCTTAATATTTGATTTTACACACTAAGCAAAAAGTTCCCTGCCCCTCCTCTCGCCACCCCTCATCCTCTCTCATGTGTTCACGGAAGCCCCCATTTTTTTCCCTTTCCAACTTGTTGAAAAGTCATGTTAAGGAACTGACATCGAGAGCTCGCTCTGCAAGAATGCCTCTACGAAACATGCAAGGAATACAGTTAAGGTTTGGAAATTATGGTTGGCAACTCAATTGCCGACCAACTCAGATGAGAACAGGAGTAGTGGTTAAAATAACTAAGACTACGTTTTTGCTTTACCGAACAGATCTTTTATTGTTGGAACCTTCGTTCATTTAGGTGCAGCTTCCTCACGGGCCCATGCCAATCGTTTTAAAATTCAGACACCTACTAACGAATATCAAGTCGATATGCTGATGAATCCAACCGGCGGGACGACGTTATCACTTTCGTCCAAATTTTTGTACGGCATAGGCTCGTTTGTATGGGTGAGGGGTAACTCAGTTTCCTTTCAAAGTATGTTATTCGTGAATGTGTACCATATGATAAAGAAAATTATTATGATTAATGTACTTAATGACAGATTAATATAGCGTGTAATTCAAAGGTGATGATGATTAAAAGAATGATTATTATTTAGAAACTGCCTGTGTGATTGATGATTATAGTTATCATATACTCCACCCCATCTAGAAGTTTTTCAGACATAATCTTGACAGGAAGCATTTATACACCGATTTATTTCAGCGTTAACTTCCTCCCCTCCCATAGGCATTGAACTGTCGTCCGTGCCCAGGATTGGGGGGTCAGGAATTTAAACCTTACCAGGCTGGAGTGGGGAATTGGAACCTTGACTGGCTGAGGTAGGGAATTTGAAGCGGAAGTGCTGAGTCTTTACAGTGGAAGAGAAGTGCTTCATATGGAGGTGTTCAACTGTAAAGAGGGGGATGTTGAAGCTTCAAATTGATCGACGCATTACGTTAGATTTAAATTTTGGATAAGCGGATCTGGTGAAGTTTCGACCAGAAGCTTGGTGAGGACGAGCGCCTGTATTTTGTCGGTACTTGACAGAATACTGCGATCAGCGATGACATGAGATGGTGAACAGTTCTCTAACCAACCCTACTTTAAAACATCTCACTGGTATCTCATTTCTTTTTTGCGAAACAGCAGACTGCAAAACAAATCTTTGATGTTTATGTAAAAAGGAACTAAAGCAGAAGCTGTAGAAGTAATAAATATAGAAAGAATATTCGCGTAATATTGGTAGGAATGTACTCTAACAGTGCTATCACTGAACTAGAATAGGGGCGTTTACCAGAATGAGGGTGCTTAGGTAATAGGGGCGATAATTGACAAAAACAAACTCGAGAGGGGGTGCTTTTTGAGACGAGGGCGCTAAATCGAATCATTACGGTATCTTGCTATTATCTAACGGTGGATGTTTTCCCCGTTTAATCTCGCAAAATGTAAGAGGTACAGGAAGGAGGTTTGAGGGCAATGTAACCTGAACTTCAAGGCCTAGCTGTATAAAGGGCGGATAACGCCATTCAGGAAGCGGGGGAGAATTAATTTTTCGCTTTATCAGTCAACTCGCCAAACTTGAGTTTGAAATGGTCGATACCTGCAACTTATATGATTTATTTGGTCATAGCCCTAAGTTGTATGAAATATTGGATCCTAACCAAACTAAAGAACTGGCGGAACAACAACAAAAGGTACACGATGTGTATTAAGGCTTGATGAAAAGAGGCTGGGGAGAGGTGTGTCATTCGATGGTCATGGGCTGGAAACAGATGTACACGAGATCTTTGATCAGCGGCTGCACACGCAAATGACAACAGCTTGAAAATGGTATAAGATGGCGGCTAGTGGGAAGGACATTTTGACCGCATATCCCCCCAAAATTTCACGTGATTCAATACTCTCAGTCTATCCATTGCACTGGCACGTCTGGCATAAAGATGCCTCGTCACTCGAAGAAGAACTTGCTTTGAACAAGGTAGGTGCTTTACATGGAACGGGTTTTAACCACGAGACAAGTGAACATTTGTTCGCACGGCAAAACCAGCGGATTTACCAACCATTTGTGGTTTTCATGTAGCACAATAAAGAGTTACTGGACCCTCGAGGACGGACTCCACTTCATCTTGCGGTTAGTCTGGGTTATGTGGATTGTGTAAAGTGTCTTCTTCGCGGAGGCTGCGATGCAAACGCTATTAATCAGGATGGGTGGAATGGTATGTAGTAAAAATATTGCTAGTTTTTATGTAAGAGATGTGTTTTCCCCATCTTCAAAGATTTAATCCACTTAGATAAGTAAAGCGAGATCTAAAAGATAATGTGAATATTGCAGGTGGCAAATTTGATGCTGAATTTCAAGTACAGTAAATATTAATTCTGGCATGGGCTGTGATTTGAAATATTTGTGTCCTCCTGTCCTAACCCGTTATCTGCAGTTTACACCTTCCACAATACACTGATGTGTCCCTTCCTATGTTATCTGGCCATCTGTCACTACACAGGCCATGTTAAAAGGCTGCTATGAAGCAGTAGGTTAGCAAGCAATGGTTAGGTTTAGCAATAAAATAGAAATAAAAAAGAGGAAAACTATTTTTGTATGGAGGTTTTACACGACAATGCAAAGTATGTATCATTTTGCATAGCCACTTGTTTGTCTGTTTTACAAAGTCTTCATAGTATCCTCAAGCTGATTGCTAATGTCAAAAATATTTTGAGGAACTTATTTGAGACAGTAAGTAGATATATGGGGATGCAGTCATGCCTCCATGCTGAAATTTGAGCCACAAACGTTCAAAATTGCAGGTGCATTTTTATAAGTAGAATGTGAAAAATGCTGGTTGTCAGCTTATTTTGACAACCCTTTGTGGGAAAAAAGTTTTGTTTAATGTGTAATTTTTCCTCTTCTTATACTTCAAGCATGTTAAAACAAGAACTTTATCTTTGGTGCTGTGGAAATTTCCTATTTCTTACTTAGTTTGAAGGAGTTGCATTTACACCTCAATGAAAATGAAATTTCTCATTTTTCAGGAGCTAAAACGCGAAGAAAAACAAATAACAATGAACTCTGTCATATACACTTGGTTGAACATTCTAAACCATTAGACAAGTGCTGTTTTAAATGGATTTGACTGGGCATGATTTGATATTTTTTAGTGTCACATGAAGCGATTAGCACTGGAAACCCTGAAATTTTATCACTTGTACTTCAACACCGAGATTTTCAAAGAGGAAGTCAAAGGCTTGCTGGAATTCCTGAACTATTGGAAGAACTCAATTCTGTAAGTCAGGTTCTTTTCTTCAAATATTTTAACCTTATCATAAATTTGGTAAAAATGCTATTGCTGTGTTAGTCCCAGACCTTTCTTTTCACATAATAATTTATGCAGCATGGCGGCCGGACACTCCGACTTATGCTCTGTTGCTTTGGTGGTTTTAGTGGCTTTCTTTCAGCTGCTGTTATTTAAATGCTATCAACCTATGGGCAACAATCATAATCCTACTCGAAAACTGACTGAGAATTTCCACGCATCAACATGGAGGCTATTCAAGCCAGCACCTTGTATCACTAAAGATGTGAAGTTTCGCAAACAAACAACTCGTAAATTTAACAACTTCAATGGTTATATTGCTGGTCTTCTCCTATTATGCGGTGACATTTCAAGCCATCCTGGCCCTGACGGATGAGGTGAAACTGTACATGGTACTAAGCATCCTTATTTCCAACTGAAGGAAAAGGGTCTAAAACTTTGCCATCTAAACGTACGCTCCCTTCCCTGCCATTTTAAAGAAATCAAAATGCTAATGCTTATGAATGACTTCGATCTGTTTGTGATGAGTGAAACCTGGCTCAGTTCCACCTGGACTGACCCTGAGCTTGCAATTGACAACTACACAATCTACCGTTGTGACAGGAATGATGCCAAAGGAGGTGGAGTAGCGATTTATATAAAAAACTCGCTTATTTGTCGACGAATTGATCTTCTGGACAAAGAATCAAGCGCTGAATATGTATGCATTGAGATAAAACAACACGCTGCTGGAGCAAAATTTCTATTTATTGTTTTCTACCGTCCTCCCAAGCCAATGTCAAAGCGACTGGATCAAATCACACAGATGATTGAATTTGCTTCTTGTCACTGGAACGAAATTATAGTGACCGGAGACTTCAACTTTAATCTTCTTGATGTGACGAATGCAAACTGCAAACTCATCAAGATATTCCGGGATGCAGGCCTGAAGCAATTAATTAACACTGCAACACGAGAAGACAAGAATACACATACTTTACTAGATCACCTCTATACAACCCACGAAAATAGAATCGGTGAAATTATTGTTCCAGTCTATGGCCTAAGCGACCACTATCCAATTTGCTTCACGCATAAATTTGGCAGAGGTAAACGCAGTAAAAACCATCACGAAGAAATTACGTACAGAAACTTTAAGAACTTTTCAAAAGAAAATTTTGTTCATGATCTAGGGGCCGTGCTTTGGGAAACTCTTGACGCCTATGCTGAAGTGGACAAAAAGCTAGAATGCTGGAATGCTTTGTTTATGGATGTGTTAAACAAACATATTCCATTGGTCACCCGACGGGTGAAAAACAAACAAATCCCAGGTTGGATGAATCGTGACATCATTAGGCAAATATGTGTCAGAGACAAACTTAAAGCACGTGCCAAACACAGTGCGCTGGCGAGAACAATGTATAAAAGAACCAGGAATCGAGTTGTCAAATTAATTACTAACGCAAAGTCCAACTATTTCAGAGAAAAGATTGTAGAAAATAAAGACAACACAAGAAATCTGTGGAAACTGTTAAAACAATCAGCACCAATCAAACCTATCCCAAAAGCACCCACCGCTATTTTAGTTAATGATGAACACGTCATGGATCCAGCCAAAATAGCTGACGCATTTAATGAATACTTCAC